TTTTGTTCCTGATTTACAGCATCTGCAGTTCTTTCGGTTTTTAATCAGGAATGAATTAATGGTCATCATTAGACTCTTAATTCCATATTTATGTTGAATTCAAATTCCACCATCTGCCACAGCTGGATTCAAACCCAAATCTCCAGAACATTACCTGGGTCTCTTGATTAACAGTCCAGTAATAATACCACGAGGCTAACACTCCCCTAATGTCACCTCGACATTCCTGCATATACCTGAAAATCTTTCATCAACTTGGTAATGATGAATTTATCTACCTCTGCCTTAAAAATATTTTAAGATTCTGCATCCACTGCTTTTTCCTCATCTCTGTCTTAACTGGGTGACCTCTTATTTTCAAATTCGGATCCCTAGTTCTATGTTCCCCTGCAAGAGGAAACATCCTTTCAACATCCACCTGGTCAATTCCCCTCAGGATCTTATATGTTTCAATTAAGGCACCTCTGACTCTTCTAAACTCCAGAGGATGCAGACCTAGCCTTTCTCAGTGCTGTGCTGGATCAGGCGCCATTCCAGGCAGATTTCAGTGCACTGTCAATAATGGAAAAGTGAATATGAAACCAATGCAGTATGTTGTGTTACATCTCACAGTTGGTATGTCAGTCATAGCTTTATGAGAAACAATATGTCTTTAACAGGCATACTCATGATATCATTTCTGCATCATAAGCATGTGGCCTAAAGGTATAGGGATCTCAGACTCCAGCTTAGTTTGAGTCATGTTGTTCTAATTTATCTTAGTGTGCTGATGCAGTTGGGATGTTTGTATACAATAATTAGTTGTAATAAATATGTATTGGATTTTTCAATACTATAATATACATGTCCAATTTCTTACATTATGGAAGGTAACAAAAGCATTGTTGCATTAGGTAAAATAGCCTGCTGGAAGCAAGATCCCAAGATAATATTTAGTGTAGCCTTGTTCTGCTTTATGGAAAAATATTTTACCTTAAGACTGCCTACAGACTGAAAGAAATTTCTCTGTTTGGTTTAATAGGAAAGTTTTCATTGTTTTTTTCCCAATTGTCCACCTTCCTTTCCTCTCGAATACTATCAGCAATGCATGGGGGTGTTGGAGACTGTTTTGCTGCTGGGTAAGGAAAGCTGTGGTAGTTCATCTCCATTTTGTTATTGCCTAATTTACACAAAAGATATTCCACTCTTGCAAGTCTGGCAAGTATGCGATTATAAGTGGCAACTCAAGTGAATGTTGTCCGTTGTGGTGGCAATTACCTTGCCTTCATTCTGTCAGTTTTGTCAATGGTCAACAATATGGTGACCAATAGATGATCCGTTGATGTTTTAGATGACTGATTTATAGCTTACACACGTATGCACAGGATGCTTACACTGATTGTGGTGCTGCTACACAAAATGTAATAGAGCACAAAATTGGGACAATTGCCTGAACTGCTCTGAAAGAGCTTTGTATTTGGAGGAGTGTGTTTCAAGATTATAATGGTCAGCTGCATTGTGCACAACCAATGTTAGCTTTAATTTGTGGCAGGTACTTATAATTTTACCCCCTTCAACAGCATGATTAGTGATGGTTTGCAAAGGTTATTTAAATGAACAAGTAGCACAAGGTTGGTGTGCAATCTGCTCCAGAATGAATGAACACAGGTTAATTATGGGGCTCTTGTGGTGCTGTGATAATGTCCCTCTGAACCAGGAGGCCTGCATTCAAATCCTACCTTCTCCATAAGTGTGTGATAACATCACTGAATGTTTGATTAGAAAACATCTGCAGGTTAATTGTGCACTACAATTTCTGTGCCTATTCTCAGGCTAAACAGTTTCAATTCCCAATCTAAAGTAATGATCACTACAGATGGCCCATCTTATAGCACACTTAGTAATGTGCTATAACTCAATCAAATTATTTCTTTAAATATATTATTTAATAGCTAAATTCTATTGTTTCATCAGTGAGGAAAAAGACTTCAGTTAAACCAAAATGATTGGTATGATTATACTAATCAGTGGTGCCTCATGTCTCTCTGCTGCACAGTGATTTAGCCTCAATAATCCGATTTGAATTTGACGCTCAAGTATAAAACAAGAACAACAATCTTTGCCATGAGTTCCTTTTCCATCTCTCGCCATCAAGCATCTCCACCATACACTGACAAACATAAACCATTCATCAAGCTGTAATCCTAGTTATATTTCATGGGTTTAACTGTCTTGCCACTCTCTAGGCTTATCCTCCAACATAAGATATATGTTTAGAGTACCTTTAGTTATTATCTGCCTTCATGGAATGTAATAAGATTAATCTTAAAACCTGGGGCTATGGTAATCCTTGAGATCTGCTGAATAGTATGTGGGATATGACATAATGGTTTGAACTTATAAAGTGCAACCTTTTTTTAAATACTGCACTGCTTTCCATGTGATTGAGGTTTAATCAACACTGAGATTTTAGAATCAAAGTGTTCGAGTGGCATGTTTTAAATAATCTGGGCTAGGAGCTACTGTATTGTACACTATGTAGTGTAATGCAGACAGCTGATTGTTTGTTGGCTTTCATCCAAGAGGGTGAATCGAATTCATTTAGAGTGAACTCCAATTGCCAGTCATACTTAATACAGCACAATGAGATTATGGTATTAAAATGGATGGTAGCTCAGGAATTTTATCTACTGCATTTATAATATTGCAGAAAGTATTTCACTGTCATTCAAAAGTCCATCTGAGGAAAGGCAGCAAATCCATTGACAGTGAGCTAGCTATGCAATTACTGGCTGACTGAAATGTCGCCCGCTCTTATTACTGTCTTGGTTAGCAGCAATTGCTTTTATAAATTCTTTAGTGAATTTAAAATTAATATGTAGACGTAACTATGAAATTATAGTACCACAAGTAAAATACAGCTGGGGTGGGGGACAGAAACGAAAGAACTGCAGATGCTAGAAATCAGAAATACAAACAAATTGCTGGAAAAATCTAGGCCCGAAACGTCAGCCTCTCTGCTCCTATGATGCTGCTTGGCCTGCTGTGTTCATCCAGCCCTGCACCTTGTTGTCTAGGAATCTATTACACTTCTGATTGTTACTTGTTGGTGAGTAGCAATGGATGAGACAGGCGAGAACAGATGATCTGCTTTTGTGTTTATAGTATTTAAATGGCTGGTCCAAATGTTTTTCACTGACCAACTATATTCATGCCATTTATATTGGTCATAAGAATAAATTTATATATTCTATTTTCTCTTTATTCTGAGAACAATTTCATGATCCAATAAATGTATTTGGAGCATTTGTGTTATAATTCTACTGCTTTGCTATCACCTACCTTTAACAGACACATTTCTTTAGATTTCACCTATGTCAAAAATCTTCTGTTTCACCCTTAGGGAGTTGGGCTGCATCTCAGGTTATATTATTAAACAGAACTTTATCACCTCCTTTCCGGTGTATCTTCCTATTGAGTAACAACTTTACACTCTATCTTGTCCATGAAAAACACAGAACAGAAACTTTTATCTCTAGCTGTATTGGATAAATGTACAGAAATGATATTATTCTCAATGGGAAAATTATAAACCTACTGTCTGTTCTTTATTAAGGATTCATATCAATATTTGGAAATGGATATGTGATTTATTTGCCAATCAAACGGAAGGAAAAACTGAAACCTGCGGAACTGATGACAATTAACCTGGCAATTTGTGATTTTGGGATGGCAGGTAAGTTTATTTCTGAATTATGTTCTGTTAGGGTCACAAATCATAAATTGTGGAAGTGAAGGTGGTCAGGCCAATGAGACTGGGGAATAGGACACAATCTGATGCTTGACTCATTACATACTGTTAGAACAAATAAAGCAAGTTAACTGATCTCAGAGCGATTAATTATCTTGAAATATGTGGATTATACTCCAAGTTTGGACAATCTTTGATCACTTCTGTTTTCCTTAATGAGTGCTGCTTTGAAGTTCGCCACCACAGTAGTGTAGTTCCCTTTTTTATAAGCATGAATGGTAAGCTTGAATGTTTAAACGCTTAGTCACTGAATTTTGGGATTGAGTTATCAGTAGGCCAAAGGGCCAAAGTTATATGAACACACTAATGAGGAGCAGCAAACAGTTTTCCTTCCTTAATATCCGAAGAAACCTGACTATCTTTTTTTTCCTGTCTAGCTATCTCTCAGACTCCAATTTTTTGTGCTTTTTCATGATTTATTTTGTGTTTCAGGGCTTTTTCCTTTTTCTCTTCATGTTCTTGCCCATCTCGCTGTTAACATGGCAAAAATAGTCCATGAAATTTAGTTGCTTGTATGGCAGGAAATATATAAAGAACTGATTAATTAAGCATGGCATGCAACATTAATTAATTTGGAGTGAAGACACTATAGGTGGAATCTTGTTGAAGTGTGTGCGGTCAATGAACTTAAATTGTATTAAGAGACAAAAAGGTGCAGGGCTGGATGGGTCTAGGCCCGAAACGTCAGCCTCTCTGCTCCTATGATGCTGCTTGGCCTGCTGTGTTCATCCAGCCCTGCACCTTGTTGTCTCGGATTCTCCAGCATCTGCAGTTCCTACTATCTCTGATTAAATTGTATTAAGTTGACTTTTGTGGGCAGGGGATTTGAGGAAAATTATTAAAAGACTTCAGAGTGATGTGGTAGTTCCCACTGTCCTATTGTAACTTTAGTGGAAGACCCATGAAACCCTGAATAATGGAATAAACAACTGTTTATCCAATTTCTGCAAAGTTTGACCTCAACGACTGTCAAGACAATGATAACGGATAAGACTGGCAAGCAAAGTATTTTGATAAAGTGAGTAGGGAAAGATTAGCTGATTAGGCAGTCAAGGACAACAGGTCATTAATTTAAAATGACAAGTGAGAGTGTGCAAGGAGGTTAGGGGAGATACGTTTAAGCAGACCTTCTTAGATCATATTTTAACAGAGTGAAGGGTTAAGGCAGATAGCATTGTTTCTTTTTAAAAGTGAATTGCATGAGTATTTGAAGAAAGATGCAACATTATGAGGATATTTCGCGACAGTGGGATCAATGTGGATTATTCTAACAAAAGGTCCACATTTATGATCACCTTTAGTATTCAACATAAACCGCAACGTCCTAAGGTTCTACAACAGAGTTGCCCTGATATTCCATTCTTCACCTTTGTACTAGCCAGTTTGGTAATTGTTAAAATGTACTCTGTCTGACAATTACAGAGTCAGTTTGTAGTTTCATGATCCTGTCAATATTTTACCCTGAACTTGCCCTGGATCAGGTCTGGATGCAGAGACTGGAGGCAGAAATTCAATCATTGCAGCAATTTTAAGGGGCTCATAGCAACAGTACAAGTGATGTGTATTATGTGGTTTAGTACTGCTATCTACTGATGAAAGTCATGTAATACATTTCATACAATTAGATTTTTATGACCAGTCATAGAGAAATTTATAATGTAATATACGTAAAAATGAATTCCGAGCAGGGGTAAGTCATTTAGCCCCTTGAACCTGCTGCTCTCATCAATAAGATCATAGTTAGTTTGACTGTGACCTCATCCACACTTTCCTCTCCATCTCCTAGAATCGCCACAGTGTGGAAGCAGGATATTTGGCCCATCAAGTCCACAATGACCCTCCAAAGAGCATCCCACCCAGACCTATGCCTCTACCCTGTCCCTGTAACCCTGGATATCCCATGGCTAATCCACCCAATCTGTACATCTTTGGACTGTGGGAGGAAACTGGAGCACCCAGAGGAAACCCACGCAAACACAAGGAGAATGTGCAAACTCCATACAGATAGTTGCCTGAGGGTGGAACTGAACTTGGGTCTCTGGTGCTGTGAGGCAGCAGTACTAACAGCTGTGCCACCATGCCACTCTACAGGTTGTCTCCTGATAACCTTTGACTCCATTGTCAATCAAAATATTATCAACCTCAGCCTTAAAATTTTCATAATTTTGGTGAAGAGAGTTCCAAAAACTCATGACACACAGAAAAAAAAATTCTCCTCATCTCTGCATTAAATGGGAGACAGATGGGAATGCCTATTTTTAAACCATGACTTCTTGCTCAACTCTCTCCCACAAAGGGAAACATTGTATCAGTCCTCCAAGGATCTTAGACATTTCAATATGATAACCTCTTTGTCTTTGAAACTCCAAGCCCAGCCTATCCAGCCTTTCCTCATAAAATTAACCTTCAATTACAGATATCAATCGAGAAACCGAATCTGATCCAAACTGCATCTAATGCATTTTTATCCTTTCTTAAGTAAGGAGCCTAAAACTAAATACAGTTTTCAGGTGTCAGCTAACCAATAGCCTGTATAACCATAGTAAAAAAATCCTACTTTTATATTTTATACCCCCTGCATTGAGCTATATTTGATGCTTAAGTTTCTAATTTTTTATTCAAAACTAGTGAAAGCTACTTTGAAAAGTCTTGTACTGCAACAGATATGGGAACTTCGATATTGTGTGAACAGTAAAAACAGTAGAAACGTAATGGGGCAGATCATGCCGTTATGCAAAATTGTGTCCCACATCTAAACTGAGCTTGATGGTTTGGAGTCATTTAAATAATTCTGATGAGCTCTCGGGTGCATTTCTACAGTATATCATGAATATCAGGCTGAAGAATGTTTTCATTATATTGTATTATTATATTTGTTAATTCAAGAAGTAAATAATTTCAACTCACTTTCAGAGAATTGAAATGTAACTCCCATTCCGCACCCATCACTGATAGCAAAAGCAAGTATCAAGGCTGCAAGGATAAATCTGTCCAGAAACTGAGTTTTCTTGAATACTCTCGGAATAACAACAGTGCTCCTTTTAATTTAAGTTTCTGCCATCTAGTGGATATTTATTTATTCGTATAAAATGTTTTATAATGAATTTCTTACAGTATTTTTCTCAATGCAGATTTCTGGTAAATTTCACCGATAATATGCATAAATCACATTTGTGCTGGCATCTGCTGCCAAGTAGATGAAATGGGAATTCAGCCAAATATATAGATTGACTTGAAGTTCATTTTAATAGCTCTTCTAGTTATTTTTAATGGTCTAATGTTAATTCTTAGTCTTGGGTTTAAGTTTATTCATTGACAGTATGGCAGACAAATAGCATTTCATGTTGCGCATTGGTGTGGAATGAAAGGTGTTACCTCGTTTCAAAACATTATAAATGCAGAGACTGTTCTGAGAGATTAGTGTATATCTGTTTAAACATTAAATTACATACAATAACTAATTTATGTTTAGTCCAGTATTTTCTAGACTGAATCAAAGAATGTTCTAATATCATGCATTAATTACACTATAGATGTAAATCTGGGGTTTAACCAATTGTAGTATTGAAGCACTTTCACCAAAAGAAAAATTTGCCTAGCTCCCTCCTAAGTTGGCTGGCACCAGAACCAGAATTCTCTACATAGATGGAAAGTTGACATAAACTTGTTGATCGGGTTTTGTGTCTGTCTGATATCTTTGCCACTGCTCCAAGCAACATTTTCTGTGAAAATCTCATTTGGATAATTTTGAGGGGCTCTGCAATTAATTTTTACTTGTACCAGCAAAGAAAATGGCCAATGCTGGTCTTGGTTGTCTATAGCAGCATATGGGACTGACTGCCAATTGGCAATAAAATTAATGAAACAATTATTCATTTTAAATCTTTTCACTAATGGTTTTTTAAAGGGCTATTTTTTCAAGACTTTGAAAGCCGTATTTCAGAATTGCAAAGCTTTTAATGTACTTGTTTCCCTAAAATAATAAGTGATATGTATCCTATTCTTATTCAGTCTATATGAATGATACATGTATATTTTTCAGTTGGAGGTAAACCTTTCCTGATCAGTTCTTGTTTTGCTCATCGATGGATCTTTGGTTGGATTGGCTGTCGCTGGCATGGATGGTCAGGGTTTTTCTTTGGATGTGGTAGTCTAATTACAATAACAATTGTAAGTCTGGACAGGTATCTGAAAATTTGCCATTTACGATATGGTAAGTAAAACATTAAGTTTAAATTTGTGTGAATGCAGTCATTCAATCCAAATTTATAACAACTATATTAATACTTTTTCAGGTATTTGGTTTCAAAGGTGGCATGCCTTCGTATGTTTGGGTTTTGCCTGGATTTATGCTGCATTCTGGGCCACTATTCCCCTAGTTGGCTGGGGAGACTATGCTCCTGAGCCTTTTGGTACGTCATGCACTCTGAACTGGTGGCTTGCACAAGTCTCTGTGGGTGGACAGGTCTTCATTCTGAGCATTCTTTTCTTTTGCCTTGTGCTTCCAACGGCTGTAATAGTATTCTCCTACGTAAAAATCATAGCCAAAGTAAAATCATCTGCCAAAGAAGTTGCGCAATTCGATTCAAGGATTCAAAGTAACCATTTACTGGAAATGAAACTTACAAAGGTAAACTGTAATTTGTTTATTTATCTAGCACCAATGTTTAAGAGAAACACACAAAAAAAAACATTTGTTGGAAATGCATTGTGTGGTTCCTGGCGGGGTTTCCATCTATTTGAGGAGCCTGCTTCAGAGGGTACGAACAACAATGGCACCTAGTGTTACTGTGGTGCAATTGCTGGAGAATATGTTTTATGATATATTTTCTCATCCATTAATCATATCAATAAACCAGCCAACAGCTAGGTCTACTGGCATTATGTCCAATATCGCATTGTGTGGAAATATTTGGGAATTCTAAAAATTGGTTGGAATGCTTTCCCCCTCAATTGCTGGAGTCTTGCAAGGAACTAGCAGAACTCCGAATGAAAATCTTGCATCATTCAAATTATTATTCTTTGAATAATGGACAGAGATTTTCTAATGGTATCTTTTGTGAGATTGAAATAACTCGACAGAGGCCATTATCCTGTCACCAAGTCATCCTTTATTTACACGTGGAGTGACCTTGACACTGATCCAGCTCCCTCAGAGCCAGCCCTCAGAGCGAACAGGATGTCTGACACGCCTGTTTATATCTGTCAGCCAGGATTCCCTGATTGGACCAGATTAACAGCCAATCAGGGAACTCACATTCTATGAGGTCCACCTTGCCGATCTCATTACAATCACTGCATCCCTCCTCCTCTGAGTCTGAAGGCATAAACCAATTCTTTTTTTTCTGTATCTCCTCCTGAGGCGTTTTAGCACTGGATTAGGTTGCTCCATCTCTGCCACTGATGTGGATGGAATGGAACACACAGTAGCTCACCTCTTACATCTGGAGCGTCCCTGAAGAAATCCATTCTCTTCTTCAGGTGGTGAAGGTGTCAACGCAGCGATATTTGGCATTTCCATCTCAGATTATGTGGTATCCTCAACACCTGATGGCTTGGGTGCAAGTTTGCGGCTTTCATATGGCCCATGTGCTTGTTCAGAACCATCATACCTACCCAAACTTTATATGTCACTAGACCTGACCTTGCATCAACCATGCCTGTTACCAATGCAGCGCCATTCCTGTGGTTCCAACACCAAACTCTATCTTTCTCACTTAGAGGAATCTTGTGTCTGGCATTGATGTCCCTGGTGCCATTTTCACCCTCCAACCCCAGGTCCAGGAAGATCAGATTTAACCTGGTGGAGAGTCTTCTCCCCATTTGTAACTGTGCTGGAGCTATCTCTGTAGTTCCTTAAGAGGTGGTCCTGTAATCAAATAGGAACCAGAACAGTTTAGTATCTAGTGAAGCTGTAGGCTGTTTCTTTAAGACTGCCTTCAAAGCTTGGACAGCTGTTTGGATTATGGATGGTATGGAGCTGTCCTTATATGTCAAATACCATTTGACTTAAGGAATTGGTCAAATTCCTGCTGGTAAACGATGGCTCGTTATCTATGACCAATACTTTTGGGAAACCGTTGATTGCAAAATATGCGTGCACTTTTTCTACCATTGTCCCCATGTTTACAAAGAACAAAGAGCAATACAGCACAGGAACAGGCCCTTCGGCCCTCCAAGCCTGCGTTGATGCAGTTTTCCCTTCCATACTAAACCTGTCTTCACTTACAGGATCCTTATCCCTCTATTCCCTTCCTATTCATGTATTCGACCAGGTGCTTCTTGAATGCTACTGGAAGGGGCATTCATTTGTGTCTGCTTCCACTACCTCCTCTGGCAGTGTGTTCCAGGCACTCACCACCCTTTGTGTGAAAAACTTGCCTCGAACGTCTCTTTTAAACTTCCCCTCTTGCACCTTGAACCTGTGTCCCCCAGTAATTGACCCTCCACCCTGGGAAAAAGCCTCAAACGTTTCACTCTATCCATCCCATTCACAATCTTATAAACCTCTATCAGGTTGCCTCTGAACCTCCTGCATTCCAGTGAAAATAAACCCAGTCTATCCAACCGTTCTTCATACCTAAAATCCCCCATACCGGGCAATATCCTGGTAAACCTTTTCTGTATCCTGTCCGAAGCATCCATATCCTTCTGTAGTGTGGTGACCAGAACTGTACACAACATTCTAAGTGTGGCCTAACTAAAGTTCTGTAAGGCTGCAGCATAACTTGCCTATCCTTAAAATGAATGCCCCTTCCAGTGAAGGCAAGCATGCCATAGGCCTTTTTTCACTACCTTATCTACCTGCATTGCTGCCTTCAGTGATCTGTGGGCCTACACACCCAGATCCCTCTGCATGTCAGTACTCCTAAGGGTTCTGCCATTCACTGTATAATTTCCACCTGTACTTGACCTTCCTTCATATTCAACGAATGAACTCTATGCATGTCCAACCACTTTGAATGGGGGTCCTCAATGACTAAGAACATTGAGCCCATGAAAGGACCTGCATAGTTGACCTGTAACCAAATCCAGGGTTTACTTGGCCATTCCCACAAATGTGGGGGAGCTCCTGTCCTTGTTGGCACTCTGGGCACTGACTCATCAACACAGCCATGTCAACATCCAGTCCTGACCACCAGACATAATGTCTCACCGACATCCTCATTTTGGAAACCCCTGGATGACCCTGATCGACTTCAGCCAGTACCTGGCAGCAAACATTCCTAGGGACAACCACACTTGCTCCCCATAATAATAAGGATAGAAATCACACAGCACCAGATTATCATTCAACAGGTTTATTTGAAAACACAAGCTTTCAGAGCATAGCCCCTTTGTCAGGTGAAGTGAGAGATGTAGGGACTACGCTCTGAAAGCTTGTGTTTTCAAATAAACCTGTTGCACTATAACCTGGTGTTGTGTGATTTCTGACCTTGTCCACCCCAGTCCAACACCAGAACCTCCACATCATAATAATATACCATCCTGTACTGTGATCTGGTCTCTCCTGGTCCAAATAGGTTTCAGTGCTGGTTGTGATGGTGTTTTGATTTCCCCGATCACCACCAGCTGTTTCAGTTTTGACAGGAACAGATCTTTCTGCGTCCAAAGTCTGGTATTGTCAATTGTGACTGGAAGTCTGTCCAGAAAATTTAAAATCATTCGGACTCTTCCAGTGGCAATACCACCAGTGGTGTATCTGCCAGCAGGAGGCAGCTCTATTCATCTGCATTAGCTATCTGTAAATATATGCACTTAAAATTAGAGCTTGACACTGAATTCAGCCTGAAGCAATGGGTGGCACTGCATTGTCCTCTTTAAGTAGATCTAGCAGCAGTTTGTGGTCTGTTATTATTACAAATTTACATCTGTAAAGGTGTTGGTGGATCTTCCTAACTCCAAATTTTCCTTCTCTATCTGGGCGTATTTATGCTCTGCATTAGTCAAAGCCCTGGATGCATATGCTTTTAATAGATAGAATCCCCACTGTTGGGAAACAGGTCATTCAGCCCAATGAATCCACACCTAAACCCAAACCCAAACCCACACACACAGCATTGCAATCAAATCCATCCCCTACACAGTACCTGTATTTCACATGGCTAACACACCTAACACACACATCCCTGAACACTATGGGTAATTTAGCACGGCCAATCCACCTAACTTGCACATCTTTGGATTCCGGGAGGAAACCGGAGCACCCAGTGGAAAACCACATAGACATGGGGAGAATGCACAAACTCCACACAGACAGTCACCCAGGTCCCTAGTGCTGTGAGGCAGCAGTGCTAATCACTGTGCCACCAAGTCACTATTGGGTGTTCCTCTTCATTGGGCCACCTATGAGCTAATACTACCCCAATACCATACAGGGAGGTATCACATGTCAATACCTGATGTCGCTTGGGATCATACTGTGCCAACACCTTCGAGGATGATGGCTGTTTCTCCACTTCCCTGAAAGCAATGGCTTGGCTATGCAACTGTTTCTAAGGCTGACCCTTTTTTAAAAGTTGATGCATTGTTGCCAGGACAGAGGCCACATTAGGTATGAACTTTCCATAATAATGCAGCAAACCAAGGAAAGACCTAAGCTCTGGTAAGGATGAGGGAGTCGGGGAAACTTTGATCACTGTCACTTTATCTTCCAACCGGTGTAACCCAGTCTTGATGAATCTGTAGCCCAAGTAAGTTACTTGGGGTGCTTGGAACACACATTTTTCCCTTCTAAGGTGTACACCCACCTGGAAGAAACATCTAAGGACCATGTCGAAGTTCTCTTAGTGTTCCTTATTGGTCTTCCCTGTTATTAGCACATCATTGATATAAATGGCAGCCAGGGTAGACCTTGTAAAGTGTTCTTATCGTCCACTGAAAACTTACACAGGCTGGCAATACCCCAAACAGCAGTCTTGTGTACTGGTACAAACTATTGTGGGTATTAATTGTAACGTACTTCTGGGAATCCACATCTAACTGCCATTAAAGGTATGCATGCCTCCAGTACACACATGGGAGCCAGGACAGCTTTGATCGTCCTCCCTTTATCTTCCAATGCGTGTAACCCGGTTTGTCAACTCTGTAACCCAATTAGGTCACCTCAGGTGTCTGGAACACACATATTTCCTTTCTAAGATATACCCTGCTTTGCGGAAAATGTTTAAGTACTATTTCCAAGTTCTCAATGTTCTTTATTGGTCTTCCTGGTTATTAGCACATTATCCAGATAAATGGTGATCTGGGGTCGACCTTGTAAAATATTCTCCATCATCCGCTGGAAAATAGACCAGGCTGATGATACCCCAAAAGGCAGCCTGATATATTGGTACAAACTCTTATGAGTATTAATTGTAGCATAGCTTTGGGAATCCTCATCTAATCAAAACTGGAGGTAAACATGGCTCATGTCCAGCTTTGTCTATAAATCCTCTATGTGAGGCATTGGGTATTTATCCAACTGCAAAAAGCGATTTACCATTTGTTTAAAATCCCCACAAAAGTGAACCAACCTGTTAGGCTTCACAATTAGTATGACCAGTGCTGCCCATTATGCAAACTGGACTGGTTTGATGATTCCTTCATTTTCCAACCTTCTAATTTCTGCCTCTACTTTTGCCTGTAAAG